ACATATATATATACATATATATACATATATATATATATATATATATATATATATATATATATATATATATATATATATATATATGTGTGTGTGTGTGTGTGTGTGTATGGCGGCAGTCAGACTGTTGTGAAAGGATCACAGCTACACCAGGTTCGTCTCAGCAACGGTGGTTTACTGTAATATACAGCACAGTGAGCGCACTCCAAAACGCATGCTCTCTTTCAACAATTCAAGCAGCTTCTGCACATAAATTTAAGACAAAAAATTATAAATAATATATTATAAAGACTAAGACTAGAAAAACAAAACGATAAAATAAAGTTGTAGATATTTTTAAGACAACATTGTTTAACATTATAATTAACCGATTACACAATTTTTAATATCAATAAAAGAAAAGAGAAGGGGACCCAACCTGTAACATACAGCACGGTGATTGCACTCCAAAGCAACGCGTGCTCTCTTTCAACTTAGGCCGCAACAGCCAAACAAAAAAGAAAATACACGTTTGCCAACTTTCCAAACAAGTACTTTTACAATAAAACATATGAATCATGAGTTAAATGTTACAAAAATTACATCCTTATAAAATAAAGTGAAAACACAGTTGTACAATTACAAATTAATTTTAAAGCCAAGAGAGCAAAAAAAAAAAAACCTTACCAACTCAATTCCCAAGCAGCTTCTGCCCGGAAATTAGCAAGGTGGCTTAGGGTGCGCTGCTCACTAAAGTGCCCCACCCGCAACTATGCAAAAAGGAACTTGGTAAATTTGCCAATGAAACAAATGCCCTCTGATAACTAATACTACTTATAATAATATAAACGTAATATATATGCACAAAACTAAATTGTTCACTGAAATAATAAATAAAAATAAATGAGAAAGCTTTACAGAAGTTCTATAAAGTATTAACTCGGCTACATATAATCAGAGTACCAGGGGGCATGTTTCTTATCTCTATGCTTTATCTTCTTAAGTGGAGCTACAAGATCTAGGTGCTGTGAAGCGATTTCTCCATGTGCATAGTTACCTAGTTGGAGGTTAGGGACCAAGCATTCTATACACAATAACAATGGTAATTGGAGGTGAACTACAAAGATGAGCCTGCAAGACTAAGAATTAGAATTTCATATATGCTAAAGCTATAAGCACTTTGCTCAAACATTCCTAGGTTAGACTGATATATTGCAGCCAGGGGCGTAGCACCAAATTCTGGGCCCTATGCACAAACAGTGCCCATGCCGCCCCCCCCCCCTAAAAAAAAAAAAAAACAGCCTAATCACACAAGACTTCACTGGAATTTGGTTTTATTTGTAGAATGATTAAAAGCTATAACAGGAAATATCACCAAAGGTAGCCTAACATCATAGGCCTACATGAAAATTGAACACTTTTGCATTTGGCTGAAGAGAACAGCTTTTTATCAAGTAGCCTATTTATTATTATTACATAAAAGAAAAATGCCATTTCAGATTTACACATTGACAAACTACTTTATTTATTATGAAAGAAAAAAAACGACTCACTAGTCATTTTTCATTAAAAAAAAAAAAGGGCAAAAAGAAAACACTGAAAAATGGCAATGGGCAAAAAGCTAAACACTGAAATTTATATCCCAGTTCGTACCCACTGGGATACGCGGAAGTGCGGCTGTTTAGAATGTGAATAGAGATCTTCACGCGAAGCAGTGTTGCCAACTTAGCGACTTTGTCGCTATATTTAGAGAGTTTAGACCCCTCTAGCGACTCGTTTTCAAAAAAGCGACTAGCGACAAATCTAGCGACTTTTTGTAGTGTTACTGGAGACTTTTGTAGACTCTGACGTGAAAGCACGTATCGTCCTTACTCTTCTCACCGGGCAGCGGGTGCTGCCGTGGGCCCCTCTCCGTCCTAAAGCACTCACAGGTGGCCAGTCCGCACGCAGCAGCCCCGCCCAGCTGCAGTAATAGCAAGGAGATGTGCATCACTTTCTCACATTGCCATTGACGTTTTTTTTATATATATATATAAAATCGACAGAAGAAAGGTCATTTGTCGTTCTAAACATATCTATGGAAAAACAGTTTTTGTCTCTCCCACGACATTATTCCGCTCTCCTACAGCGTCCATTACAATTACATGCACATTATGCAAATGACGCGATGGCGTCATTTAGCGTCTTCTAGCGACTTTTGGGACAGCCAATAGCGACTTTCCTTGCTGAAGAGTTGGCAACAGTGACGCGAAGGCGGTAGTACACGCCCCCCATGCAGTTAAAAGAAAGGTGACATGGTTTACATTTGCCGATTTAACCTCATTTAAAAAAAACTTTAAATACCTCCGACAATGGATGTTTTGAAAAGAAGACAGATTACAGTTTTAGCCAGCGCTTTTTCCATGATTCTACACGAACATTTCAGCGAGATTTAAACTGAAATAGACGAGAAAGATACGCGGCATCGCCGACGATGCCGTGGAACCCAGGGGGTTAAGCAAACAAAAAAAAATATTTAGACTTATCTACTGTATATACTACATTATGTTAAACTATGTGTAATTTCGTGGTGGTATTGAAGTGTTTAATAATCACAGTTCATTTAATGTAGGCTATTTGCTTTCACATTTGGGCTCACCTTGGGAAAAAAGTTTGTAAGCAGTTGCTTTCCCTCATTTCTTTTTTTGTTTCTTTCCTGCCTCTTTTTTTTGAAAACCGGATTTAGCTTTCTTTAGCATCATCTTCCAGCACGGATTCAGCTGTTTCAGCAGAATGATCGCTAAATTAAATGCGCCTAGTTAAAAAGCCCAGTGAAGACAACCATTGCAAGGGGTGAGGTAGAGGTCGACCGATATGGGTTTTTCAATAGCCGATGCCGAT